CCCTCTGGGGGGTGATTTCTTGCTTTCTGTCTCTGTCTCTGTCTGTCTGGTGAGCGCATGCACCCTATAGCAAAAGCCTCTCCACAAAACAAACAAACAAAACAACACACAATGAGAAAAAAGAAAAAAGATAAGCCTTTCAAGTACTCATATTAGGGTACAGAGCATCTCATCATAATGTCAAAAGGTCTAGTTCTCCTGGAAGATTTAATAATTCTAAACATTAGTGAATCTAACAAAATTATCTCAAAATATATACAACAAACATATTTAGAACCAGAAGGAAAAACAAATCCTCACCAGAATGGGAGATTTCCAAACATCCCTTACTTATAAAGCAGACAAAAAAACAAACAAACAAAACCACTATAAAATTTACAAAAGATTTGAACAAAACAATTAGCAGTTTCAGAACGTCTATGATGAAAGGTAACCTTGTATCACAAGGTTTTTTGGAAGGCAAAACACCTTAAGTTTAAGTAGAAATTCTGTCAGTTAGCTATTTGAACTTGAATATTTTATTTGTCTTTATTAGAATTATTTCCTTACCTACAAATAAAAATACCTAATATCTGATACCATGCCAGTCATAAATAGGTGTTCAGTAAACACTGAGAAACAAATGAATGAAAAATAAATATGTAAAACATAAAAATTATTTACAACCTATGAAAGAAAGTTACTGCATTAAAAGTTAGCAGGAGGAAACTGATTGCAAAAGGGCATACAGAAACTTTTTTGGGGTGGTTAAAATGTTCCATGTCATGATTATATACAGTTCTAAAAGCTCATCAAATTATACACTTAAAATTGTTGAATTTTGGGCCAAATCTGTGGCCTGATGGTTAAGGCAGATGGGTCCCAAATGGATGACTGTACTGTTCAAATCCTGAATCTGGTAGCTTGAGAAACATGATGGACACATGTGTGTGCATGTTCACAATCCCAAAAGGAGGGAAGAGATGGAGGAGAAGGGACTGTGGCGTGACCATTCCCATGGGGAGGTGCTTTCTTACCACCCCATCCCCCCATCTTTGCTCTCTCTGGCGAGCAAACCCCTAACAACAACAAAAAAAGTAGAATTTTATTACATATAAATATTATTATATATTAATAAAAGAGAGAGATGCTAATAGGAATTTAGCTTCTAAGAAGATTATTACAGTACCTTCCCCTTCTTTTCCTACTGCTTAAAATAATTAATTCATTTTTATTTTATAAACATTTGTAGTATGACATATCCATATCTGCAATAGAGTATAAAATAACAAAACAGGTAATTTACTTTTGTTTTTTCTTTAAATAAAAAATGTAGTTATTATTCATGGGAGGACTTAATTTTTACCCCTGTACTTTTGAGAAGATACTCACCTCTTCCTTTGATGATTCTGAGTCAAGCTGCAGTGTGAGATACATAATAATATGGGGAGTGTTGAGGACATTCTGCTGGATACCTTCAACCTCTTCTCCCCATAAAAGTTTAACTAAATCATTTATGTTCGACTGTGCCTTTTTCTGTCTTGGTTGAGTCGTTTCCTTTTTCACAGCATATGCATTTTCAAGTGTCAGTTTCACCTTTGAAAATTAAAACAGTGAAAGTGTACAACATAATGTAATGTTTGATGTCAAATAAGATGAACAGTGACATATCCTTGACTGGATTATTATATACTGGATGCATTCTTTGATAAACCGTACTGTACCCTACAAAGATGTACAATGATTATATATAAATGAGAAATTACAATACAAAAAATAAGATAAATCAGGGTCTGATTTTCCAACAAGGAAAAAACAACTAAAATTTCCACAAAGGTGGCTCTGTGCATGCACACAGACTCAGGCACATACAGTATGTATAAGTCATCCTAGAGCAAGGATGGCAGAGTATGTATTCTCCTCATTTCTACCTGTATTTCCAGCTGGCAGCACAGTAATTACTGTGACTTACTCAGTAATAACATACAATGTTGTGCATTAAAAAGCCATTTACATACAATCATTTTATTCTAAATTATTGGCAACAAAAACAGAAATTAGTATGATCTGAAAGTACTAACTCATCTGGAGAAAATAGAAGGATGAGATTCAGGAATCAGAACTCTCACAAAAGAGTTAGCTTTTTTTTAAAAAAAAAAATGAAATGATATTTCAAATATTCTTCTTTCAGACATTCTTTGTGATCCTTTAAAACAAAGACCAAGAATAATAAAAACATATCAACATCCTAAATCTTGAGCCATGGCCCTAAGATTAGTTTTAATCAAGATAGTTTTAATTTCATGGCTTGATGTCAAGATTGGTAAAAGTCCAGAAGGTGAAAACTTTCCAGTTGTTGATAGGTAGCTTCCATTTCTCAGTTACCTTCCCTTGAAAAGTGAGTTATTAATCTAGATGCTGTTTAGCCCAGAACATCTTGATTGTTTCAAAGAAGCAGCAATTTTTATCTCGACTAAAAGAAGTTTTCATTAAATTAAATTTTGTATAGCAAGGCATCATCATAAGTTATATACATACAAAGTATTCCTAATATTTAAAGTCTTACCAGAGGGCAGATTAGTAAAATGGATTTAAAAGTTTTACATCTTTCATGAGAAAGGGCAACATATAGAAAGAGAAATAGATACCCCCAACAGACTCTTCATGTCATGATCCATCCTCAGCCTAAGTCAGGATAATAGGCACACACACAGTATGTAAAAGGAGACCTTGAGATGCAAACCTGGGACTTGCCTATATAGCCTTTGTGGAGCATTGCATTACATCTGCACAATGAATGCCCAAAATTCCAGGAGGAAAATGGAGGAGAGGGGATTGTGGTGTGGCCAACCCCCCTGAGGGGCGATTTCTCAGTTTCCCTCTCACTGTTTCTATTTCTTTCTAGCGAGTACATACACATTCTGACACACACACAAACTAAAAACAAAAACTAAAAAAAAAAAAAGATTAACGTTTAACGTTTACTCTTTTTTATGTTTTTGGTTTTTTTTGTAAACCTGATATTGAAAACAAGTCATTGGTATTAGAGAACTGTGTCAAAAAAATAATAAAAATAAATAAATAAAAGGCTAAGTACAAAATAAGTATGTTGGGGGGGGAGGAATATTAAGCAAGCTAAAGTAAAATATAAAAAATTAGAGACCCTACATAAAAACAATGAAGAATTATTATTTGATGAAAATTAACATAAGGTTAAGGTGAAAAGGAGTTGAAGAGATACAGTTTTAGAAATGCTCCATCTTGGGGTGGCCAGCAGGTAGCATAATGGCTATGTCGCTGGACTCCCATGTAGTCGACCGTGGTTCGAGTCCTGGACCCGGTGGCTTAAACTCACACCGGACACGTGTGCGTGTGTGCCCAAGATCCCGAGAGGAGAATGGAGAAGGGATTGTGGTGTGGCCATCCCCCCTGGGGGGGGTATTTCTCGCTTTCTGTCTCTCTGCCTCTCTCTGTCTTTCTAGCGAGTGTACATGCCCTATAGCAAAAACCTCTCCAAAAAAAGAGGAATGCTCCATCTTGGAAGGGTGTGGAAGGGAACAATATGATGCTGTAGTCCAAACAAGCTACACCTACACCTTGGATAGCCTGAAAGACTACGTGCTGAGGGTAGCATCTGTTCTAGTGGGGATGACTCGATATATGTGTCAATAAATATAAAAGTAACATAAATATATAAAATCCATGAACAGGGGTTTGACAAAGCAAAAAGCTTGGTGGTCAGGGGGTTCTTTTATCCAAGAATGAGGATTTAGGTGTGTCTAAAAAAAATACATGAGAAGGAGGGGCTGGACAGCGGTGCAGTAATAAAACGCAAAGTTCTGTAAGGCTGATGACACATGTGGGAAGGTTCTGGATTTGTGTCTGGAGACTTCCCTGAATATCCCAGGAAGGCATGTGCCCATGATCTGGGGCTAGCTGAAGCTGGGGATGGATTACTGCATAAAGACCCTGTTGGGGGTGCTATCTCTTTGTCTCTCTCACTCATGGAAGACAAATATAAATAACTTAAGAAAGAAAAGAAAAGCAAAATGGGAACCCTTGGTAGTGGTCCTAGAAATGTAAGAAAGTTTTGGAATTTGGCAAATGAAGCATTTATTGCATAGGAAAACAGAAACATATGTCATGACTTTCCCAACAACCTAAAATTTTATGATGGTTAAGTTGGGATCTTTGAAGACTGTCCCCTGGCACTGGGCTTTGGGGAGAAGCTCTGAGTAGAAGAGCTCGAGTGGAGTGGAGGGGGAGAAATGTGATAGGGAGAGCATGGGATGAGTGACAATCCCAGGGAGCAAGTGTCCTGGGGTGTAGTATCTGTGAGAGTTATCTGTGCAAAGCCAGCAGTGAACAAGAAAGTGGGCCTCAGAGAAAGAAACTATCCAGAGCAGTGTAGGCAACTATTCCAGCTGTGATTCTTCTGGGTAGAGAGGTCAAAAGATAGGGTGTGACTCATCAAAAATGACAAAAGAAAATGAGATGGCCACATGGCTCCAGCAAACTAGGTATTGCAGGGAATGAAGATTTTCTACTGATAATTCAGCCTCCAGCAAACGAGCTAGCAGTAGGGAGTCCCCCACCCCCCCGGCCCTGTTCCCTCCTCACTCCCCCAGCCTTCTATCTCTGTTTCTGTCTCTCCCTGCTTCTGTCTTCCCATTTTTTTTGTAATTTTTCCTTTTCACATTTTTTTTTAAAGGCAACGTTTTTCTCTGGCTCTTAGCTCCACCTTTTATCTTGTTAATTATTGCTCTGGTCCTCCCACCCAGGCAGAAGAGGCCAGGCCTTCAGAAAAGGTTCCACATGGCTCCAGTGAACTAGGTATTTCACACGGCGTGCTTGTGCGCCACATGGCTTTCTATTTTGTGATTTTTTTTTTAAAAGAAAAACAATAATTACAATTTTTTTCTTTTTTTGTCTTTTTTTTCTTTTTGTTGTTGTTTCTCTCTCTTTTTCATTTTCCTTTTTCTGGTCGCTCCACCTTCCAATATCCATTTAATGTGTTTTTAGACGGATCTAAGAGCCCTGTAGCTAAACATCCAAATACTAATAGGGTTAAAATATTCCTCAATATCTACTGAATCTGCTGCACCAGCAATCACAACAGAACAGCAAAGAGATTCTATATCACCTCTGTCTGCTTGCTCCTGAACATTCAGACTGAACTTCAAGAATTTGAAAGAAACATCAGATGACAAGAAATCATCGCCGGATCACAAGGAATAGGGAAAACAAGAAAATACCTCTCTTCCAAGGGAAAAGAGTAGCTCTTCTTCATCCACAAGTAGTTCGGTGAAAATCATGGAACTGTCTGATAAGGAATTTAGAGCATTCATAATGTCAAAGCTAACAGAGATGGAAGAGAAGAGAGATAATGAACTGCTAAAGAGAAAGGAGAAAGAAGTTGACGA